ACCTTCCATATAGTTGAAAAGTAGATTTCCTAAACCATGGAAATAACCATGTTGCTCCTAGCCTTTACAACCTGACCTTACAACACACCATTCAGGCTATGTACAAGGAACAGAATCCAATTTGGCCAAAAGACCAAATATTTGGAAAGGAATCAATCAACAATCAATTATCAAGTCTTTTTAATGGCCAGGAATTTTGCTAAGTTCTGGGGATAAAAAAGAAAAGGAAAACCCACTGGTCCTATTCCTTGAGCATATATTCTAATGGTGGAGACAACATATTTATATGCATACAAGATAAATATAGAATAAAAGGCAGGTAGCCCCAGGTAAAGACCTACTTACAGGAACTAAGCTTTAAGAGCTAAGTTAAGTCTTAAGAGAAAGAATTCAAGGCATGGGGCATCCTGTGGGAGGACCATCAAGTAGGCTGGTATGGCTGGCCCATACTGCTCAGAGAGGGGAGAAATGGGTTAAAAGACTAGAAAAACCAGAAAAGGCAAGATTGTTAACAGCTTTAAAAATCAAACAGAGGTCCTGTTGATCCTGACCCTGGAGGTAACAGGTCACACAGCTAATAAGTGTCCTGGGCCCCAGGCCCAGTGCCATGCCACAATGCTGTTCACTATGTGTAAAGCCCAGGTATACAAACAGCAGAGTCAAAATGGTCTTGCTCTCAAGGAGCTCACATTCAAATGGGAGAGACAACACAAGTCAGATGGTAACGGCCTGTGGTTCTTAGGGCATAGCAGTAAAGCAGAAATAATCTTTAATGTTATTTTCACAGACAAAATCCTATCAGGGTCTGATATCGCACCATTTGACAGTGCCAAGGACATTGGTGGCCAGAACTTTTTGGGTCTTCAGGAGCTGTGGCTGCAGCACCAGGAGCCTAGGGCCTCAGAAAGGTAGATTCAATCAATCAAAGGTAAAAACTTGGGAGGACTGAAGGACCTTCATCATGGGAGAAAGACAAAGGATGCCACATGGGCCAAAATTTCATGACTGAATGAAAGTACAACACATCTCTGGGCCTATGGGTAACACAGAAAGTCAGTTTGGAAATCCTCATTCTAGCCACAGGCCAGTCTAGTGGTAGAAGTAGGTCCAGCCAATCCCTTTGGCAGAGGGGAGGAAATTTATCCCCCTCTTCTGCCTCTCACTTCAGGCAACTCTTGTGAGTTTGGGAGATCTACCAGAGTAGATATCAGTAACCAGGAGGAAGTAGTAGTGTCCCTGGAACATCTGTGGCTCACAGAAGCATAGAAAGAATAGCTATGTCAGAAGCAAAAATATGGACAAACTAGATATACAGAGGAAAAGTAGCTTCAGGACTCTGCAAGTGTAGTAGCCTTGGAACCCAGCTTAGGGCTACGCCTAGAGTAACTTCATGAGGAAGCCAGGGAGAAAAAAGAGCTTTAACTACATGTCCTCTCTTAAGTTTGAGCCCACTCTCCCTAGGCACTTTGTCTATGCAAGGGGAGAAAGTCCTGCTAGTTTTGGGGGGGACATTTCTGAAATTAGCTATTTTTAAAATATCTGCTTAGAGCAAGAAGGGAACAAGCATTTACTAAGTAACTACTAAGTACCAAGCACTGTGCTAAGCACTATATGAATATTATTTCATTTGACCCTCACAACAACCCTGTGAGGTAGGTACAATTATTATCTATTTTACAGTTGAGGAAACAGAGGCAGACAGATATTAGACTTGCCCAGTGTCACACAGTTAGTAAGTATCTGAGGCTGGATTTGAACTCAAGTGTTCCTGACTCCAGGCCCAGCACTTTATCCACTACACCTAGTTGCTTAGTAAATACCCTCTCTAAAAGCTAATTAACTCTGGTTGATAATCAATAGGGAGCATCTTGGATGGAGGAAACAGCACTAGAAACCTGAACCCTCAAAGCAGTCAGCTGGTCCAGTCTGCCAGGGTGAGGGAGGGTTGGGGAATTAGCCCTGGAGGAAGTGCTACAAAGAAATACATACAGAGTAGATGGCAGGTAACCAACCTTAGAGAAGGTCATCCCTGCTAAGGGAACTAGGGAAAGTCTTCTGTAGAAGCTAGCATGTGAGCTGAATCCTGAAGAAAGCCACTTTCTTTCCCCAACTTGCCCTGACATGACTACTGAGGGGTCAGGTGACAGGGAGAACATGGAGTAAGGGAAAGAGAACTGCTGTACCATGCTAAAGCGGGACTGCTGGCACATTGCCTCCGCCTGGCTTTCAGAATCTTGTAATAATAGCTGACAATAATCCAGCACTGAGGTTTGCAAAGCACAATCGTCTTATCCTCACAACAACCCTGAGATTTTACAGGCAATATTGACATTTTTTTGAACAGATGGGGAAACTAAAGTTCAGAAAGGTTAAGTCAATCAATAAACATTTTTATTAAGCACCTACTATGTGCCAGGCACCATGCTTGTGCGAAGAGCTGGGGATACAAAGAAAGGCAAAAGATAGATCTTAAGTCTCAAGGAGGTCACAGTCTAATGATGGAGACAACATGTAGACCACTATGTACAAAAAAGACATGCAGAATAAATCAGATGTAATCAATAGATGAAGGCACTGGCATTAAAGGAATCTGGGAAACAGGGTGGGATTTTAGCTAAGACTTGAAGACAGCAAAGCCAGGAGGCAGAGCATTCCAGGCTTGGGAGACAGCCAGTGAAAATGCCCATAATAATGCAGCTAGTTAAGTAAGTGAGGCAGGATCTGAGTTCAGGTCTTCTTGACTCCAAGTCTAGAACTCTACTTTGCCACCTAATTCTCCACTATTCCTAAACACACTATCCATTCTAGCTGAGCCAACATGTTTCCTCAGTCTTTTACATGTATCAAACTCATTTCCAACCTTGGTCTTCATTTAAACTCTCCTGTATGAGGTTGCCCACTCTCCTTCCTCTCCTCTGGGGATACAAATTCTATCCATCCTTTATAAGTCTGACACAAATTCAACCTGCTGAATTCTATCTTTGAAGCTGTCATCTTTTCTTCATGCTAAAAATCTCAGTTTTTATCTTCATGAAACATGACTTCTAGAGTCTTAGATCACTTACCTCAACCCAAGAAAGGACTTGCTTATGGATATATAAGCAGTTAGAAGCCTAGATGGGACCATCTACACTACCTCTTATAATCCCATAGCATTTCAGTGTTTTCACATACATTACCATTGAGCACCTGCTGCTTCCTAAATCCTCTGCTCCCTTGCTTTTTCTGACATTGCTTTTTCCTGTTTCTACTTTCCTTTTCCGACCCTGTTTCCTTTGCTTAATTCCCCCTCATCTCCTGCTCCCCCAGTATAGGTAAAGACTCTATCCTGGGCACTCTTCTCTATATACCCTCTCCCTTGGTGATCTCATTAGCTCTCATGGGTTTTAAGCATTCTGTCAATCCAAGAGTACCCAGAAATCTATATTCAGCCCTAATTTCTGTACTAACTTGTCCTGAATAATGACTACTGGACATCTTCACCTAGCTATCTCAATTAACACTTCACACTCAGCATGTCCAAAAGTGAACTCATTTTCTCCTCCCTAATATTCTCTATCTCTAAATCTCTCCAGTAACTAGGCTCCTAACTTCCTTTTTCTACCATACATCTTGTCTTCATTGAGTACATTTTTCTTACCTCTCATTAAGGCTACTATCATAAACTAATTGGTCTTCAGATTCCCATCATTCTAACTCTCCCGGTCCCTCCTCCAACTAGCAGTAGTCAAAACAATTTTCCTAAGGCATAGAGCTGGCCCTGGCTCAGAAACCTTCAGCGGCTCCCCATTGTCTACAGGAAAAATACAAACTCGGTGTAAGGCTCTCCATATTTTGGCTTCCAACCACCACTGCAGCCTTATTTCATACTATGCTCCTTTACAAACTCTACATTCAAGTAAAATTTACCTATTGCCTGTTCCTGAACACTCCCTATTCCCATGGATTTGCACAGGTTGTCCTCCATTCCTGGAATGCATTTCCTCCTCATTTTGCTTTTCACTGTCAGCACCGGTCACACTTTCACAGCTCAGTTCAACTACCACCTCACTCTATGAAACTTCCTGTTTCTTCCTTCCTCATTTTCTTTTACTATACTGGTGTGCATGCTTTACTACAGCAGACCATATAAGCTCCCTGAGCAGAGACCTTCATTTCTGTCTTTGTACCTCTGGCCCCTAGCATGCTGGGAACTTAGCAGGCACTAATACTGGTTGAGTTTAATATAGTGTTTTAATGTTTATAAGCTAATCCTATCTTACTCTAAGGCGTCAGCCCTCAAAGGAAATACCGCTATTATCCTAGAAGAATATGGGCCCAGCCTATCTCACCTGCCCTAACTCTTCCAAGAACCTTAGTTTCTTCCCACTCCTGCTAACTCCCTGTATGACTCAGAGCAAAGCCCATTCCTTGGCCTGAGTTTGCCCATGTATACGAGGAAGAGATTGAATCAGACCATCTGTAAAGTCCCCTTTCCAGCGCTCACAGTCCAGGTTCCAAAGACCAAGATGACAGGGATTCAAATAGAGCCAGAGAAACAAGACACCCTTCCCTGGTGGAGAGGGCGGCCGCGCCTGGCTTCTCTTATTAGTTTACAGAAATGCGCCAGATGCCAGCGCCTGGGGGCCCTCGATCTCCGGCCTCGGGATATCTGGGGCCCAAGCCCCACTCCCGCAAAGAAAGAAGCCTCCTGTCCCAGCCGGACAACCTCGGGTACTACGCAGCTGGCCGGCGCTGAAAGGCTCCCGGGGGAGCCACGTGGGGGTGCGTCCAGGCACCGACCAACCTCCCCGGAAGGCGACACCGCCTGCTCCTTCCCTCTAAAGGCGTCCCCCTTTCCGCTGCCCCCGCCATGGACGGCACTTTGACCTACAGCTCCTAACGCGCTCCCCTCGCCTTGGCGGCCCCTTAGGAGAGGCCGGGGGGCAGGGGAGGAGTGGGGCGGAGCCTCACCCTCAAACCTGCCCGCAGCGGCTCTGGCCCGGGCCCCCAGTACTCACACTCTGTGAAAAGGGAGGGCAGCAGCTAAAGGTTAGTCCCAAAGCCGATCCGGCGGGTAGCGGCGGGGAAAGGGAGACCAGGGCGGCAGCGCACGGGAAATGAGGAGCTGGACCCTACCAACCGACACTCCACAGGATGAAAGGGGGGAAACTGGGAAATTTAATTCTGCTTTCCCTCCCCCGCCCTCTACCTAGGCCCGTGGATGCGACAACCCTGACCCTGGGGTCGCGAGCGTTGAGTGAGCTGGAGAATGCACCGAGTCTTCCCTCCAGCTCGAGGCAGACTGATAGAGGGAGACAACTCTCTCCCTCCTCCCCTCCAACTGAATGGAATCGTCTGTCGTATAGCTCTGGTGGCAAAGGAGGGGGCCTGAAGTGGAAGCCTAGGGGGCGGAGTCTCTATGCCGCGTGCGCCGCAGCTCGGGCCAGAGAAGGTAAGGGACACTTGAGGTCTGGACCCAGGAAGAAGCACAAGGGTGGAAGGGGCTGAGCCCAAGAGCCTTCGAAAGAGGCTGGTCTGTCTAGGAGAGGGCGTGGCCAAACAGATGCGCCTGCGCGGTTGCAGATCCAAAAAAAGGCGGTGGGGCGAGAGATAAGCCTGTGCGCCTGCGTCTAGGCGGGAGGAAGAAACGAGAGCGAGTTTGGAGAACTTGGAGGGTGGGGTGAGGCTGATGAGCCTCCTCCTGGCCCTTCCCTTTTCTCCGTCAGGGGCGCTCTCCGGAGCTAGGGGGAGACAAAAGGGAAAAGACGCGCAGGCGGGTGGCTCCTCCTCCCCTCCCCCTTTCCCTCCTCTCCCCTCTCCCTCCTTCTTCCTCCCCTTCCCCCGCCCCCCCCCCCTCGGCTCCCCGCCCATTGCGCGCGCGCCCCGCCTATAACGCGCCTGCCCCGGCCGGAGGCGGGTGGGCAGACGGAGCGGCCGGGAGTATATGGCTTCCAGCTGCCTGAGTCGCCGCTGCCGCCTCCGCCTCCATGTACCCCGCGGGGCCCCCCGGCCCGGCCCCGCACCCTCGCCGCCGGCGGCTCCCAGCACCTGCCCGGTCAGGGCCTCCGCTTCTGCCCCAGGAGGTGGGGGAGGACGAGCAGCCGCCTCCGGGCCGGGGCCCCTTGCCAGCCGTGCCCGAAGCCCCCCCGGGGGCAGGGGTCAGCCCTGGGGCGCCGGGCCTGGCGGTGAAGATGGCCTTCCGAAAAGCCTACTCCATCAAGGACAAGCTCCAGGCCATCGAACGTGTGAAGGGCGGGGAGCGCCAGGCCAGCGTGTGCAAGGACTTCGGGGTGCCTGGGGGCACCCTCCGGGGCTGGCTCAAGGATGAGCCCAAGCTGCGCTGGTTCCTGGACCAGCTGGGCGGAGAGGTGGGCACCCAGCGGAAGAAGATGCGGCTGGCCAACGAGGAGGAGATCGATCGTGCTGTCTATACCTGGTTCCTCACCTTGCGGCAGCACGGCATCCCACTCTCAGGTCCCATCATCCAGGCCCAGGCAGAGGCCTTTGCCCGCCAGATCTATGGTCCTGAGTGCACCTTCAAGGCTAGCCATGGCTGGTTCTGGAGGTGGCAGAAGCGCCACGGCATCTCTAGTCAACGAATCTATGGCGAAGCAGAGCCACAGCCTCCACCCCCTGCCTCAGCTCCATCACTGCCCACTGTTAAGGCTGAACCAGACCTTGTGGGCATCGGGGACCATCCCTCACCAATGCCACCCCCAACCCCTACTGATGGGGGCTATGGGGATGAACAGATCTACAATGCCAACGTCACTGGACTGTACTGGAAGTTGTTACCTGAGCAGGCAGCACCACCTGGGGAAGGGGACTCTGGAAGTGGAGGACAGAGGTGGCGAGGTGACAGGGTTACAGTGCTGCTGGCAGCCAACTTGACTGGCAGCCACAAGCTGAAGCCTCTAGTGATTGGGCAGCTGCCGGACCCACCTAGCTTGCGACACCACAATCAAGAAAAGTTTCCTGCCTCCTACCGCTACAGCCCTGATGCTTGGCTCAGTGCCACACTGCTCCGTGGCTGGTTCTTTGAGGAGTTTGTGCCGGGTGTCAGGCGCTACCTGCGGCGCAGCTGCCTGCAGCAGAAGGCTGTCTTGTTGGTGAATCACCACCCTGGGCCCAGGCCACCAGACCCACGGCCACCCTCCCCAGAGGAAGGTGAGGAAGCTGGCAAACGTCAAAGGACAGCTGGTGGCCTGGGCCCAGGGCCAGCCGTGTGCCACCCTGAGGAGTTGCAGACCCCTGATGGTGCAGTGCGGGTACTTTTCCTGTCTAAGAGCAGTGCCCGGGGTAAGATTCCAGCACCCCTGGAGCAAGGGGTAGTTTCAGCCTTCAAACAACTGTACAAACGGGAACTGCTGCGGCTGGCTGTGTCATGTGCAGGTGGATCCCCTCTGGACTTTGTTCGTAGCTTCATGTTGAAGGACATGCTCTATCTGGCTGGCTTGTCTTGGGACCTTGTCCAGGCAGGCAGCATTGAGCGATGCTGGCTGCTGGGTCTCAGAGCCGCCTTTGAGCCCCGTCCTGATGATGAGGAACGGCTGGTCCAGCCCCACCCAGGAGCCTCTGGGGAGGATGAGGAGGCAGAGGAACACAGCAAGGTCCTCAGTGACCTAACACACTTGGCTGCCCTCACTTACAAGCGCTTAGCACCTGAGGATGTGGCAGAATGGCTGCACCTGGACGATGGGGCCCCAGGCTTGGGGGAGCCCCCAGAGGGTGGGGGGGAAGAGGATGAGGATGGGGGAGGTCGGGAGCAGCCCTCCTGTGGGGGCTTCCCACCACTGGCTGGTCCACCCCAGGGGGAGGAGGAGGCTGGAACAGGAGGGCCATCACCAGTGCCCACAGCTGGGGAGGCCATTAGGGGTCTTGAGACAGCTCTACGGTGGCTGGAGAGCCGTGATCCCCGGGAGGTGGGACCCTTGAAGCTGGTGCAACTTCGATCCTTAATCAGCATGGCTCAGCGTCTTGGGGAGACAGGGCCCTAGTTATGTATCTCATGATGGCTGCTGAAGGGCAAGACTTAGAGAGTTAGGGAGCTGGGATCCAACTGACCCCTTTTTACTTCTGCACCTTTATAGGGGGAAGTTAATAGGCTCCTATCCCTTCAATGTTGTGGGCTAACCCCTGCAACAACCTGGAGGGGACCACGAGCCTCAGAGATAGCCATGGGAGAATGATACCCTACTTCGAAAGTCACCAAAGGGGATGGGACTAGGGGCACTAGTCACTACCAGTAATGGCTGAGATGCAACTCTTACTCATCAGCAAAGAAGCACGTGGCAGGAATGTCAGGGGCAGGCAACTTCAGGGCACAATCGCTTAGGATGGGGTAGCAAAGAGCCATCTTAGCCAGTACCCCCACACACATCCACATGTGTCTGTACACAGGAGCCCTGGAGGCTCTATCAGGGAGCAGCTTTCACTGTGTTCAAAACCTTAACCTTTCTGAGGCTCCCCAAGCCTAGAGCAGTGGCAGTCCTCTTTGAGGGTATGTCCTTTTTAATGCCACGTGTGATATATCTGCCCTCTCACATAGAAGGCCTTTCATCTATGTCCCCTCTTCACCGCCTTCTTGTCCTCTTCTGAGCAGGTTCCCGCTATAACCTTAACCCTCCTTTCCTTTTCTCCTCCTCCTCCTTCCCAGTCACATGCACTGGATAAGGGCCTGCTTGTTCCTCCTCTTGCTGGAAGGAGCCTGTGAGTCCTGGTGCTGGGGTTAGCTAGGGCTTGCCATAGCTTTTTAATCTTCAAAATGGGGAAAAAACTGACCACTTTTTATATAGATTAAAAAAAAACCTAGAGCCAGTTTTATAAGCCAGACCATAAAGGGGCACCAGGGTCAGAAGCTGGTGAGGGGCTGGCTCTAGACTGGTCAGAGGAATGAGAAGGATGCTCCTTAAGGGAGGGATTATAACTCTGCCATCCTGGGGCCGGGTTGGAAGGTGCCAGCCCTGAGATGTTAGCTAAGTTGCCCTTGGGAGTTGAACCAAGAAAGATCATTCATATGAAAAAGTAGATTTAGAGTGTCTGAGATCACTCATGGGTTTTGAAGAAGGGTTTTTTAGTCTGGCTGTGAATGGGGAGACTTCTGTAGCATTTGGGCTGTCCTAGGAAATGACCATAGACCCCAGGATACATCCCTAGTTTCTGTAACCAACTTGGGTTGTAGATTTGTTCAACTTTTCTTGGTCTCTGGTTTTTGTGAATGGGTTTTGTGTGTGGTTTGGGATTTTGTTTTTGTTTTTAAAGAAAAATAACACTTTCAACAGTTTTATTATAGATCATTGGAGTGTCTGAATTTGGGGCCCCTGTGGGTCTCCCTCCAAATAACTTGAAAATAACCTATTTTTACTTCAGCGTGTTTGTTGTGGTCAGCAATGGCACACTTTCCCCTGAGTGTGTGCAAACTTTGTGCCAACCATGGGCTTTGGGAAATTACCCAGTTCCTCTTTGATCAAAGCAAAGGCATCCTTCTAGAAATCATTCACTGAGTTTTTATAGTGTCAGTATCTGGAGGTGAGGAGAGTGGGTCCAATGGAAAAATCACTATTGCCTTATTAACTTTGCCCTTCTCTAGACCGAATTGGCCTTCTTCACCTGGATTCCTGGTGGGGAAAGATCCTTTGGTAAGAATCACTCTTTGTGGGTGGATTTTCTTGTCAGGTAGTAAGTCTGTTTGCAAAGCTGTGACGTGACCAGACCAAAAAGGACACAAAATGAACAATGGACTGGGGTGCAGGTAGGATTTGATATTAGTTTGGAGGAATCTTGGCAACTTTTGTTTATCTTCTGGCAAAATAGTCTGGAAAAGAGGGGAAAATACCCTTGGTGCCTCTTTGTGTCTGTAACGTGTATACTGTCTAGTCCTGAGGCCTGCCATAGTAGTTCAGAGTTCATTGTTACTTGGTTGGGGTTGGGGGTAGGATTGAAAGAGGGTTTGAAAGAAAACTGTCTAGTACTCACAACTACTTGATGAATGTCTTTGTGGATCTTTTCAGACAGTAAACAGCAACTGTACTCAGCTGGGGTTAATTGGCAGCTAGCTTTCTGACTCTCCAGCCATTCTCTGTCTCCACTTCTTAATCCGTGCCCAGCCCCAGCATTTTTTGACTGCAAGTGAGAAATTTGAAAACACGGAGTTGGTATGGAGAAGGATCTGTTAGAAATAGGTGGGACTTTGGAGGGAAATTAAAAAATGATGCTTCACAGATTCCCCTAAATTAGTCACAAGTCAGTTCTCATGTGATTCTTGAAAAGCTATTTTCCTTTGAGACCAAGAGTCTGAATCCTCCCTCTTGATTGTTTAAGAGATCAGCAGGGTAATATAGAACACATGGAAATTGGTTTGCAGGAAAAATGGTATTTTGAATGAAGGTGCCATCAGGTTGTGGTTCAATATATCTGGTTTTCATTTAACAAAAACATATTAAGCATCTACTGAGTGCAGAGCCTTTTTGGGTACTAGGGTAAATACAAAGACCCTGCCCTCTTGGAGCTTACAGTCTAGTAGGGAGATAAAACACAAGCACAATTACTTCTAATGTAAAGTGATAAATAATTTGAAATGTACAAAGTGTATTATTAGGTCCAAGTAAGAAAAGAACTTTACCAGCCAAGTGGATCATGAGAGTGTTCCTGAAGAAAATTACATTTGGATGTTCTTTAGCTATAGCTATAGCTGACATTCATGTAGCACTTTGCAAGATTTGCAAAGTACTTTTCAGATATCTCATTTGGTCCTCACAACAACCCTGAAAGGTTGGTGCTATTATTATCCCCATTTTACAGATGAGGAAACTGAGGGTAAGCGATTTGCCTGGGGTCACACAGCTTATAGTTGTCTGAATCAGGATTTGATCTTTAGCGTGCCTGACTCTGGGTCTTTAAAGGAAGGATAAGGAGGAAGGATAGGAATGTAAAAAGACAAAGGGGTAAGAGGGAAGATGTTTCAGGCTTCAGCCTTGTATGCCAGAGAATGGAATTTGAACTTAGGTATACAGTTGGAAACCACTGAAGATGGTTGGACAGAGGAGTGATGGGACCTGGTCTGTGCAAAGGAGAAATTATTTTAGCAATAGGATGAGGAATGGATTGGAGGGAAGAGAAAAGAAAAGTGGAAATGCCTGTTATGTTATCCTAACGATCCATGAGAGTAGACAGGAATGTCAGCTGGAGTGGGGGTGGGGGGGAGCGGCAGTGGGGACAGAAAAGGAGCCAAGATTCGAGAGACATTGAAGAGGTGTTATGGAGCTAAGCATAAGAAGAACCACACATAGCACCAAGGTTTCAAACATGGCAGACTAGATAGTTCGTTTTTGGGGGAGCTGATTAAGAAACTGTGCAGTGTTGCAGGCCTGCTGAGGGAGTGCTCCCAGCACGCCCAGCAGCTGTGGGATATGATTATAGTTTGGAACTGGAAGGGACCACGAAGTCTAGTCCAAACTCCTCACAGATGAGGAGACTGAATACCACTGAAGGTGCCTAAAGTCACCCAGGTAATTAATAAAAGACCTAGAAATGGACCCCCAAAGTCTTCTGACCCAAAGCTAGCCCTCCTTCCACTCAGCTCAGAAACTCAGAACCTGACAAGGCAGAGAAGCACTGGCTGGCTGTAAGAAAATATTAGGACTTATTATGAAGAGGTTATGGGACATGATGGGACATGCCTTTGTGATATAGCTACAAAACTTGACCTGAGGCTTAAATTAATGGGACTTGGTGGGAGCTTACCCCTGGGCTGGAAGTTTTGGGTCAGGCTTTTGATTGATTTGTCTGTAGTGACCTTTTGCTAGTTGAAGACCTTGGAAGAAAAGAGGCCCTTTTTCATTATAGATTTTCACTATCTCTGTAGTGTTTGTGCATTCAAATCCCTCACCCACTTGATGGAAAAGGTTGCTAGCACTTTGATCAATGTGTTAGCCAGGCCATAGGCTAAGGAATAGCTTCTCCCCAGAAGCAGATGAACAGTTTTTTTGCCATTCACTGAGCCCTCCTGGTATCCTCAATCCTGTACCTAAGCAGGCCTGGATTCACTGACTGAACAAACTTTTACCCGGTATAATTGGGGGCAGCATAGTCTCATGAAAAGTACTTTGGGTTTGGAGTCAGGATGCCAGAGTTCTGAATCCTAGTTCTGCTACTATTTGTGTGACCTCTGGGGAGCTGTTCAGAGAATGGTTTGGACGAGATAAGCGAAAGTCCCTCCTAATGATAAATCTCAGCCTGGAGTCAGGAAGAGCTGAGTTCAGATCCATCCCTAGTCACTGTGTGACCCTGGACGAGCCACTTAACTCTGTTTGCCTCAGTTTCTTCATCTGTAAAATGAGCTGGAGAAAGAAATGGCAAACCACTGCAGTATCTTTGCCAAGAAAACTCCAAATGGGGTCACAAAGAATTAGATATGACTGAACAACAATGATAAATCTCATAATCTAAGGAATTAGTTGTTGTTATCCACTGGTGTTCAACTCTGTGACCTCAGCTAGTGAAGTATCTGAAGCCGGATTTGAATTCAAGCCTTCCTGACTCCAGGCCTAGGCTCTATCTACTGCAGCCACCTAGTTGCCCAGATATTGGAGTGGTTTGCCTTCTCCTTCTCCAGCTCATTTTACAGATGAGGAAATTGAGGCAAACAGGATTAAGTGACTTGCCTAGAGTCACACAGCCAATAAGTGGGGCAGGTTGAACTCAGGTCTAAATAGTCACCCAATTCTCTGAGCCTTTGTTATAATGAAAAAAAGAAAAAAGTAACTGAAAGAGCCCTGAGCCAGGCTATGCTCTTTATTATGGATAGTGGAGGACAAGTCCCTATATCTTAACTTCAGTTTCCTTTTCTGTAAAATGGGAATAATTCTACTTGCACTGACTACTTCATGGGATAGTTAAGGATCAAGTGAAATCTTTTATGTGGAGTGATTTTATAAGCTATAAAATACTGTAAAAAAGCCAGCTGCTTAGACAAATTACTTCACCTCTCTAGGCTTTAGTTTCTCCAGCTATTAAAAATAGGCAGTTGGCCCACCTGAGTTGCCTCGGATTTTTTTATTGAAAAGGAGCTTGTCATTTCCCTGAAGGTTTGGATCCTGTTGGTGACCCTAAACCGTGGAGGAGGTAAGGTGCCTCTGTAGGCTTACCTTCTGTCCCTACCCTGACTCTCAAAATCCTAGAGAGAGGTGTGACAGCATTAACAGAAAGGATCTAAACAAACTCCAATGCATTGTAGAAATGAGAGGTAGAACAACTAAGATTTAGGCCATGTGCTTAGCGTCTGTGTGGAGCTGTCCTGAGGCTCTGATCCCTCCCCAGAACTCCCAGCAAGCTTTAGCTACTAAGATAAATACTACTCTAGATTGTCAGTAGATGTCTTTTTCCAGAAGTGGAGGCTAGAAAGCTAGAACCAATGTCAGGTTTTGGAAAAATCTAAATTTGAGGATCAGAGCACCTGGGCTTGAATCCTGGCTCTCACCTTTGGTGAGTCATCTCCCCTTTGGGGCCACATTTTCCCTCTGTAAAATAATAGGATTACACCAGATGATCTCTAAAGAGCCTTCCAGCCCTTGTTCCTTTGAGGTTAAGACTTGTCGTGTCTAGCCAGGTACATTGCCATAAATGATGGACAGAATGTCCATGTCATTGCTTCCTTATGGCAGAAGTGGGGCCTCATCTTTCTAGCCTCACAGAGACAGAATCTGAGATGCTATTTTTGGCAGCACTGGAAGATAGCTTCAGAAAATCTGTCCAGCACTTTCATAGGGGATTACAGATACTGAGGCCCTAGAGAGTGTGATCTTGGAGGGCAAGTTGGCAGAACTAGGATTTGAAGTCAGGTCTCCTGACTCCTGATTCTGTCTTCAAGAATTACTTACTATATTCAAGGACTGCACTAAAAAAAACTAGGTAAAGGGGAGGGAGAAGAATTGGGAAGGGAGGTGGGGGCGAGAAGAAGCTTTTGAGATAGGAAAAGGCACTAAAAGCAAGATCCAGAAGGGCACCTTAGATAAACTTCAAAGGGAGCTAAAGGTTCTAGGAGGCAAAGGGCAGAAGGGAACGCATTCCAGACAGATTTCTGGAGGTTCCTTCTAATTTTGAAATAGTGCAATTGAAAGGAAACACGTGTACTCGGGACCACTGAGCAACTCTGGTTTCCTCACAGAGCCCAGTGACTTTTTTTCCCCTCAAATTACTGAATTTTTCTTGCAGAGAGGGGAAGCATCAAAGCACTATTAATGTTGTAGCTGTCAAAAACATCCTCCTGCAACTACTCAGCCCTGCCACCATTT